TAACATTTTTAATTGTATTTAATAATGCTTTAAATATTCCTTGTCGAGTTATCATAATTTGTTCGTCAAACTAAAGATATAATTCAAAACAGAATTGGCGATAAGTCTATAATTTTTATAAATGGCTTTTTTGTTTGCATTTTTGTTTTTATTTATTTAAATCCACCAAGGAAAACAGGAAAATGCTAAAATTTGTTGTTATTATTTTCAAATGTAAGAAATTAAGTTTATTAAATCTTTCTGAAAACAAATCTATATTACAAGTTCATAGTACAGATCCTCCAACCTTATAAGCATGTTAAATCTTTTAATTAACTTTTAAAAACTCCATTTTGCAGTAGCGTCCCTAAAATATCCAAGTCCGTCTGAAGGTAAGAACATTTCTTTAAAAATAGAAAATATAGTCTGCATGTTGCTATTCTTTCAAATTAATTTTAAACATGAAAAATCTGTTTGAAACATCAACACTTATTTATATCGTAAACACTTCAGAAATAGGATTTTGAAAAATAAAATAAATATTTCTTTAGTAGATTAAGTTAGAAATGAATCAATGTAATTTGCGGATAAAAAAATAGTTTTTATCTTGTTAACAGATACTGAAATTCTGAGAAACCGAAACATTTTATAAGATTAATTAATTGGATATTTTCAACATATGTTTTCTTGACATTTTAAATATTCTTTTAAAAAACTATATATTTTAGGGAACAAGAAAATCGTTGTTAAAATTACCAAAGGTAATTGAAAATTTTAAAGAAAAATCTTACATTGAAACTGTATTTTTACTGAAATGCAGAACAAAATCATTTATTTTTATACAACACCAAAACAGAAGTTTCATGTTTTCAAGTTGTTGACTTTAAGCAATACGAATAAATTAGACGGAGAACTATTTCTGTTCATCAAAATATTGCAATTGTATAAAAATGAAAAGTCTGTATTTTTAGATAAAACAGCATGTATATTTGGAACTACTATACTACCTGTATTTATAGATAAAACAGCATGTATATTTGGAACTACTATACTACCTGTATTTATAGATAAACCAGCATGTATATTTGGAACTACTATAGTACCTGTATTTATAGATAAAACAGCATGTATATTTGGAACTACTATACTACCTGTATTTATAGATAAAACAGCATGTATATTTGGAACTACTATTGTACCTGTAAACAAAACTATGCCGTGCAATACAGAAATTCAGAGGTCAGATTTTATTAATGTCTTCTACATACTTGTGATGTCCTAAACAAGAGCTCGGAACTTTTGAAATATTGACAACTCTAAAAGTTAGTCGCTACTAATCTTACTTCAATCTGTTCCGTCAATAAGGAGAAAATTGTAAAAAAAAAAACATTTAATACCGAAGAACTTAGCGTTCATATACAAATTCAGAAAGTTGCAATATACGACTCTGATCGGAAAATAATCAATTTAATTCCAAACAAATCAATCAGATATTACAAACAATAGTCATCGATTATTTTTCGACGCATTCGTATATAGTTAATATATAATGATATTTTTTATCTTGTTTTTTAAAATAATATTTTCGAACATTTCTGGAAAATATGAAAATGTCCTCTTCATTATCAAAAATCCTCGAAACAGGAATAAATGTCTTCAAAAGTAACTCTTAGATCATAAAAAATAAAGAAATATTATGAAATATCAACTATATAGGAATGCGTCGAAAAATTATCTATGATTCTTGGTTGTAATATCTGAATGATTTGTTTGGAATTAAATTGATTATTTTACGATCCGAGTTGAATGTTGCAAATTTCTGAATTTGTATTGAAGCTACAACGTTCTTTGGTATAAGTCTTAAGTAGCGATATTAATGTCAAAACAGCTAAACTTTCTGTGGTATCTCACACGACCAAAGGAAGATTTATTGATGGTCGAAATTGAAATCAATTTGGTTAAAGATAAATTTTATTTTTTTTGCTCACAAAAAAAATTACAGTTTTACGCATGTACGAAAAAATGGTGGGTTGAAAAGCAACTATTAAATTAAGAATTATTATTAAAAAACAGTTCGTAAAGCGCTCCAGAAACATAGTACTTGTACTTTTCGCTCATTTCTTGCTTTAATAATTTAAAACAAACCACATTTCATTTTACAGAAGAACACTGTTATCAATGCAGTGAAGGGTAGGACGTATAAAACTATTAAAAATGAAGTCCTCGTTTAAACAATTCAATGTTGTTTTAAAAACAAACGGTTTTACTAGTAGCTTGACATACATATAAACAGTTTGTTTTGAATCTTCATGACAGTAACAATCTCAAGGAATAATAATTGTCTTAAAACATTATTTGAAAAGTGAATAATTGCAAATTATCTTTTTTCTGTCTCATAATCTGAGCTTTTTTTCCTTTTTATTTTATTTTCTTGCGGCTTTTTTACATTTTTTTTTATCGATTTTGATGGTTATTAAATTGTTAGAACTGACAAGGGTCAACCCAGACCGAAATATATTTTTAATAGAATGTGGAACTAACATCTACTTTGTTTACTCTGTAAAGCTTTGGTCCATCATCATCACTAAGTTTTAAGAAAAATGGGTCTCTGTGAGTGTGCACTGCGATGTTTAATGTTCACTGGACTTGTTATTCCAAAGTTTTTTGTTCAATTTTTTAATTATTTTCTCAAATTATTATTAACTTTATCTTTGACAGATAACTTTGAGAAATTGTTTATAAAACACCTTGAAATCGTCAGTTAAGTCTTATCATAAACAATTTTTCAGGGTGATGCATATTGAGCAAAGTATTCAGAATAAGATGTGCACCTGTACTATAAAGAAAAAAGGTATTGTACAAATTAAAATCATTTAATTAACTATCAAAATAACAAGAATAATATTAAAACTACCAGTTCTAGTAATATTAGTAGAAATATTAACAGTTTCACAACTTAGAATTAATATTTTTTTGTGTAATGTCCTCTAAAACTCTAAAAATGGAGCAAAAATAGTAATTTATGACAACAATAATAAAAATAGTAAAAATAATAACAACAATTCACACATATATTTTTTGCTTGTCTGTTTGTTTGTGTCCATAAACGTAATACCGGCTGAAGCAATAGGGCCCACATTTTTTTGTGACAACACATGACCCCAGAGAAGGTTTATATTTGGTGAAACAAAATTTTGGTCTGGAAAAAATGTTGACATTTAAGATTTTTGAATCTCCTCAAATTTAACCAAAAAAATCTGCGATAATTTTTGTTTTTTAAAGTATAAGTACAATGATTGATAATCACCATTTTAAAGATGAAAATAATAATAATAATAATAATAAATGT